AAATCTCCATGAGAGGTTACTATCAATCAAAATACCCAAATATTTCACATAATCTTTTTGCTCCAGTGAAATTAATGTATTTGTTTTATAGTCGTGAACTTTTAAGTTTGGTTTATGGTTTAACCTTTTTTGGTATGGATGAAATATAACAAAATTTGACTTTTTGATGTTTAATGTCAATTTATTTGCAAGTAGCCAGTCACAAATATATTCTAGTTGTTTATTAACAATAGTTTCAAGAGACTTTAAATTTTTGTCAGCATAAAGTAAATTGGTATCATCAGCAAATAAGAAGAAGTCCAATTTGTTTGAAGAATATTGTATATCATTAACATATATCAAGAATAACAAAGGTCCGAGTACAGATCCCTGTGGAACGCCACACTGTGTCTGTTCTTTATCTGATATATAGTTTCCTATTTGAGTTGTTTGTGATCTACCAATTAAATATGAAGAGAACCAATTATTGATAATACCCCTTCCTCCATAGTGATTAAGTTTAGACAATAATATTTCATGGGTAACTGTATCAAAGGCTTTTTTAAGATCTATGAAAACACCACACGAAAAAAGGTTATTGTCCATATTTGTTTGTATTTTGTTCACGATATCAAGGAGAGCATGATTTGTAGAATGACCCCCTCGAAATCCATATTGCGATGAACATAATATGTTGTTTTGGTCAATAAATATTTTTAGTCTATTATACATAAGTTTTTCAAATATCCGATTTAAATTAGATAGTAACGAAATTGGTCTATAGTTTCCTGGTTCTTCTTTGTCATTGCTTTTAAAAATTGGCACGATTTGTGCATGTTTTAGTTGAGAGGGATACATGCCTGTTTCAATTGATGCATTCATAATATTTGCTAACGGTTTAGAAATAATAGTTCTCGCGCCTTTAAGGATTGGTGCTGCAAATGAATATAGTCCGTGAGCCTTATTGGCAGGTAATAATAGTATTTCCATTTCTACTTCCAAAGGGGTAACAGCATCAAAGTAAGATGAATTTGTAGAAGAAGGATATTTTAGATATTCACGGAAATCATGCTTAGAGCTAGGCAATTGGTTTGAGAGATTTTGTCCAACTGTTGCAAAGTGCCTGTTAATTAAATTTGGAATTTCGGTGGGATCATTTGTGACACTTCCATCGTTTGGTCTTTTCAAAGTACCTCTTCTTTTATTATTAATCAAGGTATTAATGCCCTGCCAGGTTCTCTTCATATTATTTATATTGTTAGAAAAATAATTATGATAATAATTTATTTTACTTAATTTTGTTAACGTTGAGATTTTGTTTCTATATTGCTTATATTTTTATTTTTCTCCAGAATAAAATAGCTTATTTTTAATTCGTATTGATTTAAGTAGGCCTTTCGTTATCCACGGTTTGAGAAGTTGTTTAGATTTGCGCTTTGAACATGTTGTGAGAGGTGCATGTTTATTTACTATTTTATTGACTTTGGTGTAAAAATTTGAGAATATTTCATCAATACTGTTTGCATTGTTCACATTTGGTTCATCAAATTCAATTTGTGCAAGATCATTATTAAAAGTTTTTTTTGAAAAACGTGAAAAATCACGATATTGATTTTTTACAGTGTTCCTCCTAGTTAGCTTGCTTGTGTTTGATAAGATTACACAGAACTGTGAGAAATGATCACTTATATCAGATACAATATTACCGCTTTGAACTGAACCATTTGTTTTATTGATAAGAATATTATCAATGAGCGTAGCCGAATCTTTGTGAACTCTGGTTGGTTTATCTATTGTTGGACTAAATCCATAACTTTGCATTGTAAGTAAAAAGTTATGAGCATACGAACAGGTCTCAATTCGGAGGAGGTTTATGTTAAAATCACCCAATATGTAAACAGGTTTGTTCAATGAACCAAATCTTTCCAGACTCTCATCAAAATAATTTTGAAATCTCCCTGGGGAGTTGTGCTGTCTATAGAGGACTCCGCATATTATGTTTTTCTTATTTTCACATTGTATTTCAATTCAAAGGGCTTGAAAAGCCTCGTTAGTTGTTTTCTCAAGTACTTTATAATGAAGTTCACTGTTAACATACATTCCAACACCTCCTGCTGACAAAGGCGTGGGTACGTATTCAAACTGATAGCCTGGAATATTATAATCAAAGTCTAAAGTGTCTGTATTGCCTATTCTAGTTTCGGTAATCCCAATAATGCTAAAATTAAACTCAAGCTCACTCAAAAGATGATTTTGAAAGTTATCAATATTTCGTCTTAAGCTTCTTATGTTGTTATGAAGAAAGGATATAGAATGGTTTTCCAATGATTTTTTTGCGCAAGAAAAACTATGAGGTGAATAATATCTGCTTTGTATAGGTTCAAAATGAGAATTACGATCAGGGTTTGTGCTAGAATTTACATTCAAATTAAAGAAATCTATGTCATACATGCAGGGTAGTTTATTTAAATTTCTTTTAGTAGGCAGTTCGTTGGTTAGACTATTATTAAATTGACCATGGCTTTGTACAATATTATATCCGTTGTACGGCAGTTCACGAAACAAAGATTTAATCATACTTCTAGCGCTTGTATTGATTTCACACATTTATAACTTATAAGTTAAATAATAAAAGAAAGACTATAGTAATAACTTATCTATGCTCATCAGATGGGTGTCGAGATGGTTGCGCTTGTTGCTCAAAACGACCCAAATCATCCAAGGACCGTATCCTGACTGCACGAGAAGTATCATATTCTTTCAAATATATGTTCGCAGATTTGCTCCAGCAATATTTAAAATTGCATCGCTTTTGAAGATTCTTGGCTTGGTAAAACACCTCTTGCATACGTGGCGATAGGTGCTCATAAATTCCGATTCTTTCAAACTCTATATGTGTTCCCAGCCCCAATGATACGTTCGTCAGCTCGCTGGTGTTTCTTTTCATCGCCATAACACGTTCTTTTGCCATTCGACGTGTGAATTTACATATGATCGGATTTGGTTTGTTCATCGGTCTGCTCCCGCTATTTCTTCGAGGGACTCGATGAGCTATATCTAAGTCCTGCACGGAGATTTCCTGCACACCTAAACCAGCAAAGATCTTTAGGCATAAGCTGGCGGTTTCTTCACACGACTCGTTTTGTTTGACTTGAGGCACGCCCACGATTTTAAGATTATATTGGTAACTATAGTCTTCGAAGGCAGTAATGGCGGCTGCGATCTTGTCAACTTTATCTGAAGTAGAATCTATTTTGTTACCAATTCGTTTGAGTTCGTTTTGCGTGTCCTTCTTAAACGTAAGCAAATCATCATATGTATTGCTATAAAACTGTAGGTCTGAACTTTTAACGGCTTCAGAGCGAATAGACCCAACACGTTCACTTATGCCTTTCAAATCTTGTCTCAGGTCTTGCACTTGCTGCTTTAAAGCATCGTTCTCCTTCTTAAGCTCTTTAACTGTACTCATTTTAGCACAATTGTGTAAAATATCTGAGTAAATTTAACAAAATCTTCTAATCTCTCTGGTTCAATATACTGGGTGAAACGTTTTAAATACAGAGCTCAAAAATGCATGTCTACACCTGATGGTGTAGACTTGTATAGGTAATTGTATTCAGCAACACTTTTCTTGTCAAAGTACAATCGGATGGCATCAGTGAATTGATCCATTGGTACATTTGTTGTTGAATGCTCCAACAATAGTTTCCAGTCCTCCCCTGTCACTTCGCCATTTCGCATTCTCATCAGCAAGGCTCTAAAAGCAATTGCCTCGGGGTCCTCACCAGCCTGACGCATAACTTGATCTAAAATAATGACAGACTCAAACATCAGATACAGACTATGTCCATGGTCACTTACTACTGTTCCGTTACCTGAAACATACATTGGCTTATCACCAACAGGTGGTAATTGACCAAAATCCCCCATTAGAATTACTGACATACCACCAAAAAGGATATCTTGCTTTCCAGTACCAGCACGTAATCTATTGTCCAGCCATGATAACATTTTATGTCCAATCATTGACATTTCATCAATAATCAGAAATCTTTTACCTTCTAGCCTCACCTGTAACCGCTGTAGTGAGTCACCCTGCAAATCCCTATATTCACGGATAGGAAGTTGAGCAGCAGAATGTAATGTTTGACCATTAATACTAAAGGCTGCAATCCCAGTAGTTGCTGTAACAACACACTGAGTGGCTAATACTTGTTTTGTTGCACTTATCAAGTATGTCTTACCTGTGCCAGCTGTTCCACACACAATCATATATACAGGCTCGGCATTATCACCATTCTGAGATTGAATGATGTTGTAAGCAAGCCGTTGTTTTTCATTCAGGGTGTCCGGATCAATTACACATTGTTGATCATCTTCTCGAAATTGCTGACCATGTTCTTCAGCCTCCTTTCTCTGACTATAGATCCATCCTGGAGATTCCCTTAACAAATCTCTAGGCACAGCTCTCACAGTTTCAAACCAATCCACTGCTTCATTGTCTGGCATCTGATTACCTGCTTCACCATAATCTTGGTTAATTCTGCATAACAACATCCAATCATCAACTTCCTCCTCCTCATCAGGGTCAACTTCACTTTCGTCGTCATCATCTTGATTGTCACTTGGATCGTTTTCAAAGGTTTGACCACATTGTGCATCATGAACTCTGTCTCTTTCATCGGAATACCTAAACACATTTTCTTACGCAAATTCATCTGTCATAAGAAAAAATTCATATGCATTAATAAACATTTGATCACTTTCATCCTCATTGTTCCAAGCATTTGACGGTTGACCCTCCCATGGTTTAAACTTTATTAGTTGATATTTGCAGTATTTTCCAAAATCAGGACCAGCTGGATTAGCGGAAATCTTTGGAAATGTCCTGACAATGTACGGATTCACTCGTTTTGTCAACTCACCCTCTGACTTTCGTGTACTGTGACCCATATTGCATCAGATTTAGCTGAGACAAGCCTGTATACCTACTCTTCAATTTTGTACATTCTGCATATTCTTGTAGCTGAGATTTTTTAAGTAGCTCATCGCCTTCATTTTCTGCATCAATATTAACCTTCCTGCTGTTATCTAAAGAAATAGTAACAAAACTAAATGTGCAGCCAACCAGTGGTAGACTAAGTAACATATGCGCAGTTTCTTGTGCTGCCATATCTCTATCCCCAGCAACTTGGATCATTGCTTTCTTGAAGGCCGAAGAGACTTGATCATCATTCTGTAATGAGGCCGATTTCGATCGGGGTTCTCCTTTCGCAGCATACTTAGCCATGTATCTTGCACAAGCCTTCTCATCTACAATGACTTGCAAATCTACATTTGCCTGCCAGTTTTCGAGCATCACCCTGTTGTGTGAATTTAACCTTTGGTCATTTCGCTTGGTATGTAACTCAGACTCAACAGACTTAGTATTCTTACTTACCACCAACTCACGACTCAGTTCTGTTTCTTCTTGTAATGGCTTTGGAAAACCAAATCTGCATTCTGCAAGCAGGTCCACTCTTTTCTGTTTCAAACAATATGCTGGACTGCATCTAGTGTGTCTTTCTACAGTATTAACTAACCTGTGATAATCATTGTCACGATTATCCACTGTTGTAGCCCTAACAGCAGATGGGTGAGGATCTGGTACACTCCAGTTCTCATCAGGCAATTCCTCATTAAAAGTTGTCACCAGCCAGTCAACATACCTTTAAAATAATCATAACTTATTATTATATGTGCATGCTCGTTCTATTAGCCAAATATTACCAAATTAGTCATAAAACAGTTTTAATTACACCATTGACTGAGTGAAATATTTTCCTGTGAAACCTGTATCACCAACAGCTAAATTTCCACTTTCTATTTATGTAATTTCTTACATTCCAATAAATTTCTTACATACGAATAAATAAATTGAAAATTCCTTTCAGGAAAATTGAAACCTTTTAAGGAATTTTATAAGGAATTTTGTTTACACATAAAATATTGTTACTTTTTCAATTTTAATGTAGCAATTAAAGTTAATACTACCGTATCATAATATATTAAATATGCATAATAATAATAATAAAAAATATGAGCGAAAGACCTTTCAAAATTGTGGAGATTGGCTATCTGCATATATTATTAGCTGGGTATTTGGTGAGTGTTATTATATTTAGTGTATTAAGGCAGATTTAAATAGACTACACAACTTTTGCCTCATGCAACCTGCTTGTACCACAAGTTCACACTGTATTAAATTTGCTTACGTTGTCATAGCCATAGTTGTGTGCTTGGTTTACCCAGGTTGTTTACTCAAGTTGTATACACATATATATAAGCAGGTTGTATGCGACAATTTTAGGCAAAAGTTGTGCACAGAAGTTTACCCTGCCTTTATAAAGTATTTACAGTAGTAGTCATATTATTAAATAATTTTATCCAAAGTAGGCAGCAGTGGTAATACAATGCACAATACAAAATTCGCTTTTTAGTTGACATGAATATTTGACCTGCACACTTTTGGGAGCATGCCTTTTATCGTTTTCATGGTACTGTATTTTGAAATGCTATTGCAATACTGTAAATTCAGTAGCAGGTACAGTAAGAGATATCTAAAAATGCAAAATTCAATGTTATGACTATTTAAATTCAATGTTATGACTAATAATTCGGATCCGGTATTGTGCATTTAACTTACAATGCCGGCACATGCATTTGAAGACCTGTTGCCAGGATAAATTTATAATATTATTGAAACAATTATCCCACAACAGATTCTGCACAGTTACCTTGGTCTACAGTACACATATATGGAAATGTTAATATGGAAAATATTTTTTCTTACTGTATTAGCAACTTCTCAGCATCTTCTCCTTGTCTTATCAAATCCCCACAAAGGAATTCAAAGTCATCAGGTGACATTTCGTACTTTGTTGTCTCACTCTCTAGGAATGCAACACATGCCCTAGTACGTAATTTTCTAATATCAGAGTCCTTTTTTAACTTTGCACATCCGTGGCAATGAATACTTCCCCTAGCTTGGTACTCAAATCGATACCAGTGCCACTCAGCATCCAATATGCCATTAAGCCAATGTCTGACAAACTCCTGCAGCCGCTGCATAAAAAACCAATCAGTTAGGTGGGGGTTGTCGATTACAGCTTGTGCTCGCTCAGATCTGCTTGCACCTTCATCATTCTGCAACAGCCTCTGTAAGTCTGGCCAATGCATGTCAGCTGCACTAAAGGTAAAGAAAAATGTAGGGCAGCCTTTTTGTTCAATCAGGGCTAGCAATTCCTGCAGCCGCTGATACCAATACTGATTCGTACCTTGTACTTTGGACACATAGCGTTGCAACCTATTCATCATTTGGTTTGCACTCATGGAATTTACCATCTGCTTCAGTTTTTCCATTGTCATGTTTGCATCAGCAGGATGTTGACGCAAGTAAACATTTGCTTGTGACAACCGCTGATGCCGTTGTTTCATATTTAACGCCCAATAAGGAAACCGTGGGTGAGAAGCAAACCTCCATTCAAACTTACCATCTGCAAGCCTCTCTGCAAACTTCATTAAATGTTTGAAAGCTTCAGTTAACGTTATACCATGTTGCCGTGCCCTATTTTTAGGGTCACCCTTCCCATAAGGAAACAATGTAGGAAAGGCCATAGTAGCTAAACCATCTGTTTTAAATTCATTAACGAGATTACCTTCAGTAGATGGCCAATCTAATGGATCAACCTCATTCACTGCATCTTGGATAGCTGCACCTTCTTTTCTCTGTCTTTGACGCATAGGAATAAACGATGTACTGCCACTTCCTAAAACTAACTCTTCCACACTTGCATTAGCACTCATTACTGGGTCTTGGGGAGGCCCCTCATTTTCAACATGAACTGAAAGCTCATTTTCATCAATGACATACCTTAGCTCATCGGGAATACCATTTTCTGGTAAACTTTGGATGACATCTCTATCAATTTCGATATCTTTAAAGAACGGATTGTTTGTCTTTAACCATAACACAGCCTCGAGAACTTTGTGTCGACGCACAGTAAAGTCTCGATGTGTGTCTTCTGCACCATGTCTTCGCACAATCAAGACAAGGCAAGTCTGCCACACGTGAAGGCAACCTATTCAAGAAACTTTGAATATCTTGTGGTAAGTTAAGTACATGTCCTTTATACCCCCTCTGACCCCCATGTTTTCTATACACTCTCATAATGGGACAAACCCTTGAAATTAACATTTCTTCTACCTGTGTCAAACCTCTCAATTGTTCAGGAACTGTTCCTGGGTCCATGTCATTCTCGGCACTGAATTTCTTGGGTGATTTCTTGTCTCTCTTGCACTGGTAACAAATGTATACTTCTGATGCCAAGTTCTGGCGTGTCGGCCAAGCTTCTTTACACATTGTACATTGTCGATGCTCTAAATGTTCTTGATCTAAATGAAAACTGTGTATTTCATTTTGTACAAACTCTAGCTCATGCAGAGGGTTGTCAACATTTTGCCAACCACCCTCATGTAAATATTCATTTCTACTCACCTCTGGCCCCTCTGCTTCATGTACAGACTCACTATCCTCGTCTGCTTTAGGAACAGATACAGGTATATCTACATTTGGATCAACAGACATACCCAGCTGCTCATTTGATTCTTGGTCATTTTCATTTGAACTTGTGTGAAAAACTGCTCGTAGTATTTCAAGTATTCTTGCTCGTTCATCAATTGTTTCGGTTGCTTGGTCTTGCTTTCTCTTTTGTAGCCTGTTTGTTCATTCTTCTTCAGTCCCATTTTGCATTTTATCTAAATTATACACTCTCTTATACTCTTTTCGCTTACCTTTAGCTTCTGTAGTCCTTTCTTGCTACGCTTCTCTTCGTTTTGCCAAGCGAGTTTCTCTTTCCTCGGCACTTTCTCCAGCCTGTTTTTCTCGCCTATAAACTCTCTTATAATCATTTTGTTTACCTTTCGCTTCAACAGTCTTTTTTCCCCATGCTTCTTTTTGTTTCGACAAGCGAGTTTCTCTTTCCTCGGCACTTTCTGCAGCTTCTTTCTGTTGCCTATAAACTCTCTGATACTCCCTTTGCTTACCTTTTGCTTCAGCAGTCTTTTTTTTCCATGCTTCTCTGCGTTTTCCCAGACGAGTTTCTCTTTCCTCAGCAGTCTCCTCGAGCAAACATTGCCGTCTTCGCTCCCTTCTTTTCACCAGACGCTCGGCTTTCTTGTCGTTTTCTTCTCGCCATATATTTGGCTCCATATATTTTCAATTGGTATTTAATACCGTAATTAGTTTATTGAACCTTTTATTGCTTTTAATGCTGTCAAAAGATTTTGCAAACGTACAAAATACTGTAGTGCAAAAAGCGAAATATTTTCACAAAGTATCTGTCAGTTGAAGTCGTCATTTGTCATACAACATCAAATTTAAATTTGACCAATCAGTGTTCGCTTTCATCACAGTCCGCCATAATTTTGAGATCAGTGAGGATGACCACCCACTCAACACCGTTGGTCACCCACGCCCGCGATATTTGATGAACTTTAGACTCCGCTAATGCTTTCGTTTCCCCGGGTGTAAATAGCCGGGGGGGGAATTAGTACCCTCGCACGGCGCTTCGCGCCGCCGGCTCGGGGAATATGCAACATCGAGTACTGTGATTTTCCGTAAAATATCATAATTATCTTTCAAATACAAGAAATGACTATATACCATAAACTAAGTTTTATTCGGTATTCACAATCTTATTTATTCTCTAAATCTTTTCCCGTCAATTAATTTTATTAGTCCGGGTAATGGATGTTTATTGGCTTTGCGTCTAATCCATTATTAAGCCAAAGAACGGAGGTTAACTCTTTGCCTCAAGGGCCAACGTACCAATTCTGAGTTACGCTGACTGGAACCTCATTACGACTCTGTTTTTGTACCAACCAAT